TCCTAGTCTGGTTTGTCTTTTCTTTCTCTTAAACACTGCTATTTTAAAAACATTTTATTGTTCAAGGATGGGGAAAAGTAGATAGTTCATTCAGTGATGTATCTTGAGTACCTAAACTGCTTTTATTTAAAATATATTTTTTTAAATGATTTTAGAAAGGAAGAGAGAGGGAGAAAGAGAGATAGAAATATCAATGATGAGAGAGAATCACTGATTGGATGCCTCCTGCATGCCCCACACTGGGGATCAAGCTACCAATCCAGGCATGTGCTCTGACTGAGAATGGAACAGTGACATCCTGGTTCATAAGTTGACTCTCCACCACTGAGCCACAGCTGCTAGGCTGTCCCTACCTGCTTTGGGTCACACACAGGATGAGGCACTGGAGTCATAAAATAAGACAGTTCTTGATCTGAACTTGATAATCTAATTGAAAGGGGCAGACCCACAGGTGAACAGACAAGCACAGTGTAACCCTGGTAGCAACTCCATACATGCTGAGGAGGGGCAGATCCTGTGGGGAAAAAAGTATTGTTTAAAAAAAAAATAAAAAAAAAATGTATATATATATATATATATATATATATATATATATACACACACACACACATATATGTGTGTGTGTGTGCATGTGTGTGTGTGTGTGTGTGTGTGTGTGTGTGTGTGTATATATATATATATATATATATATATATATATATAAAATTTTTATTGCTTTTTTACAGAGAGGAAGGGAAAGGGGTATAGAGTCCGAAACACTGATGGGAGAGAAACATCAATCAGCTGCCTTCTGCAACTCCCCCCCCCCCCCTCACTGGGGATGTGCCTGTAACCAAGGTACATGCCCTTGACTGGAATCGAACCTGGGACCCTTTAGTCTGCAGGCTGATGCTCTATCCATTGAGCCAAACTGGTTAGGGCAGGGGAAAAAGTTTTGAGATAGTTTTATGTTTGTGGGAATAATGTGAGCCCTAAGTGGGATGAGGCATTTACACATTGAATCCAGTTCTCAACTGGATCAGGAATTCATCCATCCAGTCAAGGGATCTAGTTTTAATAACCTCTGCTGGTCACGTGACATTTGGACCAACCGGGGGCGGGGGGGGGGGCATAATTTACAAGAAACACAAGCCAGCAAGACTCTCCACAGGAAGGCGACCAGGATGGTGTAGAATCAGGAATGACTGGAGCGGACTCATGGGGTGGGCACGTGACAGAGCTTGCAAGTATTTTCGTGGTTAGCAAGCACAGGAGAGTGTGGACCTGCTCATGTTGGCTCCTGCTGTTGGAATTTGACCAATGGATAGAACAGCGACTTGATCCTCTCTAGCTTCAGATTCCTCATCTGTAGAATGATTACACTGAGGTTGATGAGCTTTAAGGTTCTTTTTAACCCCAAAGACCAGAGGGCAGATTTTCAGTTCAATAGGAAACAGTGTTTCCCAGCTGACAGAGCTGCCCAGCAATGGAACTGTTGGCGCATAGACTAGTGAGCTTCTCATTATTGGAGGATTCCAAGTTGGGTTGAATGTTGTTGAGTAAACATACCGTGGAAGAGAAGGATGCGAATTAGGCTGACCTCCGAAATCCTGTCCAGTCCTAGGGTCGGGTCATTAGGTGGTTTGTCACAGCTGAACGAGAATACCTGTAGTTGCATAGGATCTGAGTCAATAGCATCATGTCAGCTCTTTTAAAAATGTTTATAAATGGGTCCCAGCATTTCCAGGAGACTCTTCTACAGTCACTTTGAGAACTGTTCCAAGGTGGGGCAGGACTCTCTGGGCACAGGGCTGCAGAAAATGGAATTTGGTCTTTAGGAAAGTGAAAGGTTGGGGCTTGGGTAGAAGTGGAACATAATAATAAATAAAATGGCTGGACACATAAAAGACTAATAATGCGCATGTCGGCCAGTTCTAGCAGGAAAATGAATGAAACAAGGTGGGGCCCTTCAGTTGAATGATGGGTGCTCTGCTTGGCTTTTGGGGATCTGGAAGTGCCCTTGACCATCTCCTTTCAATGTCCGACACTACAGATTTTTATCCACAGGAGGAGCACTGTCAGTGCCATCCTGACACCTGGGAAGAGACTGAGCCTTGGGATTGCTCTGTAGGTTTAGCGACAAAAAGGAAAAGGGATGAATACATTTAAAGAAACTTTTGAGTGGGATTTCCGTGTGTGTGTGTGTGTGTATCAGGCAATAAGTTTGTGGTTTAAGTCAAAATTTTTTTCATTTTTATTATTTATCACTTACATGTAGAAAATTTGATTAGCTTAATATTGCCTAAAGTTTACTGAAATTTATGGTTGTTTTAGAAACCACCCTGATTATTTAACAGTAGAGGCAGAGTGCACGAATTCGTGCATGCATGGGTGGGGTCCAGCCAGCCCTGCCTGGCCCCAATCAGGGTGGATCGGGACCGGGCCTGTTGGGAGGAAGAAATGGTGGTAGGTTGGCCAGTTGGCCTGCCCCCAATTGGTGTAGGGGGGCCGATCAGAGTCGGAGCTGGCTGGAGGGAGGGACTGTGGGCCAATCGCGTTGGAGGCCCATCGGGGGCGGGGCCTGCCAGGAGGAAGGGCTGCAGGAGGTGGGCAAGCCAGCCCTGCCCCCTATTGAGGTGGGGGGGGTGATCAGGGGCAGGGCCAGTCGGGGTGAGGGGCTGCAGGAGGTTGGTCGTCCAGCCCCATCCCCAGATAGGGCCAGTTCGCTGGCTGCAGTGGGCATCATAGCGACCAGTTGTTCTAGTCGTTAACAGCATTCCTGTCGCTGGCTTTTTATAAACATAGATTTTTAGATTTTCTTCCTGATATTTTTGAATTACCTTTTTTGCTGGTGCAGGCACTGCCAGGGCAACATCACATATCACACATTTCTTAGAGAGCTCTGCAAAGAGAATAGAGGCTTCTCTTCACTTTGGAGAACATCACAAGATGATTTCCGTCTCCACATGACCCAGGCTCACATATTAGCACTTGAAGAAAAAAACAGTATTTGGAAGTGCTCTCTCTTCACACGGAGTAAAGCAGTTTTGGGGTGCACAATGTATGGAATGGCAGTTTTAGAAGCACATAAAAATCCAGGCAGAACCTGCCTGCTTATTTGGAACTGAAGTTGGAAACCTGCGCCTTGGTGACAAAGGGCCCCGTTTTCCTTTACCTCGGTGTCCTTCAGGCCCACAAGCTCTGCTTGTTGAATTGCTATGAATTGGTTCCCTGGGCCACAGAGAGTGGATATGGGGACAACATACACTACCATATGCTTTAAAAAAAAATTTTTTTTTTTTAAAGCAAACTACAATGAGGAATAATAACAGTTCTCGGCCTCTTTTGTCCTTGGAGTCTTGGGAAGTCATAAAAACACTTTTTAGGGAAAACAACCATCCTCCGCGGCAGTCTCTCAGAGTGCAGGGGGAACGAGAAACTCCCTCTCTGCTTTCTGTTTTTTCTTCGGCTGCTGGGAATGAATTGCTCCCGGTGTGCTGTTCTTAAATTCATGCGGCCTCTATCCATTTTAATCTTGTTATCTATTTTTATGGCGACTGTCGCCATGGTACTCTGTGCTCTTTACATAGCATAACAGGGATTTCAGATGTCTGATAGGGCAGCTCAAAGTTCTGCTGCAGCTGGCAGAGAAACAGCGTTTCAGTTGCACTCTCTTTTTTTTTTTTTTTTTTTAATTGAGGTATAATTTGCATACAGTGGAATGCTCAGATCTTAAGGGTGCTGGTAATCAGTTTTGACAAATGCATTTCGAGACAGAACATTTTCATCACCCCAGAAATGTTCCTCGTGACTATTTCTAGATGACCCCTCCCCACACCCCTCTTCCCCCCCCCCCTCCCCCCTCCGGCCCCCATCATAAGGACCACAGCTCAGGTGAGTTTTGCCACTTAGGCTCTTAAGATTCAAATTTTGTGTTTCTGGGGACTTTATATATAATGCTTTGAAGAGATGGAGGGGGGTGTGTGCTTAAAAATCAGTACCCTATGCCCTGGCTGGGTTGCTTAGTGGTTAGAGCATTGGCCTATGGACCTAAGGGCTGTGGGTTTGATCCCCAGCCCTAGTCGGGGTGCATGGGGGACGCAACAAATTGATGTCTCACACATGTAGATGTTTCTCTCCCCCTCCTCCTCCCCTTCCCCCCGCCCCCCTCTCTCTCCCTCCTCCTCTCCCCTTCCTCCCTTCCTTCCACTCTTTCTAAAAATCAAGGGAAAAAGTATGTTCCAGTGAGGATTAACAACAACAACAACAACAAATCAGTACCCTGGTGAGTCAGGAATATTTTGGAGCCTGTCTAGTGGGGTATTCAGATTTTTCTGTGTCCACAGGATCCAGATTAATGTTAGGATCAAGTGTGATTGGGTGAGGGCTGCCATTATTGGCGTGTGTGTGTGTGTGTGTGTGTGTGTGTGTGTTGTGTCGGAGAGCTGGAATCCTCAGCTAGAAGAATTGGAATGATTCCTAGGACATCCCTTTGGATTACCCAGAAGCCCCCAGTACACTCTCTCCCTTTTTCCTGCCTCTTCCTTGAACTAGCACATAAGTAAAAGAGTTACAGAGTTGGGCTTGTAACATTGAAACAAGATCCGTGTTGCAAAGCCCGGATGCTTTGCACTGCTGAGCTGTCAGCCTCCTGGGGAAGCACGCCCCCAGGCATATTACCGAAATGTGTTGAACAGGGTCAGTTAGTTTTTCTTTTCTTTTCTTTTCTTTTCTTTTCTTTTCTTTTCTTTTCTTTTCTCTTCTCTTCTCTTCTCTTCTCTTCTCTTCTCTTCTCTTCTCTTCTCTTCTCTTTTCCTTTTCCTTTTCTTTTCTTCCCCCCCCTCCCTCCCTCTCTCCCTCCCTCCCTCCTTTTTTCCCTCCTTTTCTCCTTCCCTTTCTCCCTCCCTCCTTCCCTTCCTTCCTTCCTTCCCTTCCTTCCCTTTCCTTTCTCCCTGCTCCCCCTTCTTTCTTTCTAAATAAAATTTTATCGCACAGGGAGTAAACGAACACCTTCTTCACAGGAAAGCGAGGCAGACCTCCCAGAGCAAACAGAATCTTCCTTGACAACCACTCCTAATCCAGCCCTTCCCCAGAGGTCAGCGCTGTTTTGGGTTTGCTGGTATTTTTCAAATGCTTTACATAGTTGCAGTCATACCCATAGAGCTTCAAAAAGGAGAAGTGCTTTGCACGGCACATATTGGCCCCCTGCCCTGCCCCTCAAGGGCACCCCGTGGTGATGGCTTCCAATCCTGAGGTCGGTCTTCTGGATTCTGGTTAGCTCCTGGATGGCCTTCTTGGAAGCAGCGGCGAAACTGTTGTTCAGCCTTCCTCTGACTCGGCAGTTCTCAACCTTCCTAACGCCGCCCCACACTTCATATCTGTGTTTTCTCCACCCACAGGTTGAGAACCGCTAGCAGGGTCGCCTAAGACCATCGGAAAACACAGATATTTACATTACGATTCAGGAGCAGTGGCAATATTACAGTGATGAAGTAGCAGCAAAAATAATTTTATGGTTAGGGGTCACCACAGCATGAGGAACTGTATTAAAGGGTCGCTGCATTAGAAAAGTGGAGAACTACTGCTCTAACGGGTGGACGTGTAAGGTTATTTCTGAACCCTCTGCTGTTACAAATGTTACAGCCAGCTTGGCTGCAGTCGCCTCTTTGTAACACAGGTGAGTGATTCTCCAGAGTAGACACGGAGAAAGGGGAATTGCTGTGTAAGAGGGCACTTTACTTTTAAATCCTGAGGAAGACAGATGGCAAGGTCAGTTCCTCACATGCTCAGACAGGAAGCGATTGTTTTCTGAGGCGAGCGCAGGATTCAGGGTGTGCTGGCTGTGTTCCCTTGTGCCTCCCTCCCCCATAAGTTAGCACTGGTGGCCTGGAAGGGCTGGGGATCGAACCCACAGCCCTGAGGTCCACATAGTTCTGTCTGGTCTCCCTCCCCCCCCCCCCCCCCCCCCCCCCCCGGGGACCATGGCTGCATGTGGGTGGTGGTTGTGTGCAGGGGAATTGCAGGATGGACAAGCAGCACATGGTGGACTGCATGGCACATTCTAAGCCCGGTTCCCTCCCTGGCTGGAGACCTTAACGCATCTGTGATTTTTATTTTTTTTCTGCGCCGCTCCACAATACAGAGCGCCTTACCCTCGGTGCTCAAGCCCAGGGTGAGGCGTTTGGAAGCATTGTAGCGTTCTTAGAAATCAAAAAAATCTGAAGCACTGTCATATTCTTGGATAGTTTCGTTGTATGTGGAGAAGGATAGCGCGCGTCTCTGGACTTACTCTTCTTGACATCATCTCTGGATCCCTGAGAACTCCTGGAAAACAGAAATTCTTCGTATCGGGCCAAGCCCATGCCAGTGTAGCAAGGGAGGGCGTGGCTGAGTCCCTCTTGAAGGGCCCGCACTGCTGGCCCCCGAGCTTGTGGGAGGCGGGACCCCTGTGCAGCCTTCGTTACTTCCCCCAAGTCTGTCTTCACATCCCTCACACAGGTGCTCATGAAAGTAGTTCTGGATCTGACTCCTGGGGAAGCCCAGCGTGGCATTCAAGCCATCGCCCAAGCCCGGGAATGCATTTATATCGCCTGCCTCTGGGGTTCTGAGGCGTGGTCTCCTCTTCTGGTCTCCCGAGGGTGCTGGCAGGCGCTCCCTCCCCTGTCATTTCAGGGTTTGGTGACGGAGTTAGTGCCCCACCCTATCGCTCCCTCTGCTAGGTCCTCACTGGACTCTGCTGGCCTTGACCCCTCTGGCTGCGCCGGCTGCCCTCCCCCTCCGGTGACCGTCTTCTGTTTGTACAAACTCGTTTTTGTGGTTGGCCACGCTTCCCGTGTTCCCAGGTTCTACGGGGTGGGCGGCAGCGTGCTGCTTTTTGTTTTCGGCACTTTTGCAGCCGTGCCGGACACAGCGCTGTGCTGTCTGTCTGCGTTGGCCTCCGGGACCTCGATAGGATGACAGTCCGGTCGGCAGTGGCAAGGAGGTCCCTTCCCTGGATTCCGACCGTTGTGCCACAGGGCTCTTTGTGATTTCGATTTTCTTTTTTTTCTTTCCTTAAATCGATTGCACTGCCCTTGTCAGGGTTAAATGTTCCTGGCCGCTTCCCCCTCTACGTAACCGTTCCTTAAGTTTGGCTCATTACTGTTCAGAGTTTGGTGCCTTTTTTTTTGGCTAGCGTTTATTGGGTACTCGGTGACAGGCACAGTGCTGAGTGCCCAAGGTGCACTTTTTTGTTTTTTAAAATTAAAAAAATGTATCTTATTGATTTTTTTACAGAGAGGAAGAGAGAGGGATAGAGAGTTAGAAACATCGATGAGAGAGAAACATCCATCAGCTGCCTCCTGCACACTCCCTACTGGGGATGTGCCCACAACCAGGGTACATGCCCTCGACTGGAATCGAACCTGGGACCGTTCAGTCCGCAGACCAACGGTCCATCCACTGAGCCAAACCAGCTAGGGCGGAGGTGCATGTTTTCATTCTTCCCCAGGGTCCTCTCTCAGAGGGGTCAGAACGGCTAGGAAGAGGAGCTTGGTGGCTCTTACAAACCAAGGCCCTGTGCCAGAGAACTGCAGGCCTCAGGACACCCGCAGGTTATCCTGCGGAGGAGGAGTGCTCTCTCTCCCATGGTAGAGGCGAGGAAACTGAGGCCCAGGGAGGGGAAGTAACGTGCCTGAGGGCACATGATTGGGGAGTTCGGGCTCCTTGGCAGCCCTGAGATTTCTGGACAAGTGTGAGCTAGGAATAACCGTCGCCCTGGTCCTCGGGGAGCCCCCTGCCGGATGCTTTGCTGCTGACATGCCCGCTCCATTTCCTTTCCACGCCCAAACCACCACCACCACACTGACCTCTGAGCGACTCCCCCTTTTACCAACAAGGAGCCTTTAAGAGGCCATCAGTCTAGCTTCTTGCTTGACGCACATGTGCTTTTCCTGAGTGTAGGCTATGGAAGAAAGAGCGTCTTCTTTTGGAATCAGTCGTATTTAAGCTCACTTCTGTCACTTTCTAGCTGGGTGGCCCCGGGACCTTCCTTTATGGAGTCTGTGGTCTCTTTACTTCGGCTGACTTTGTCTTTTCTGGGAGGAAATGGGTCTGCGCCCCTCACCCTCCCAGTCACCCAACAGATTAAAAAAAAAAAAATCACAACACATTTCCACTTCGCTAACGCATGTCAGGCGCTTAACATGTTCACGTGCACGTTGATCTAACCTGATGAGCTGGGTCCCGAAAACCATCCTCCTACCAGGCTTCCGTGTCCGGTGGCTGGAGGTTTGCGTTTTCCACAGAGACGTGGATTCTGACTCAGTCATCCAAGGCAAAAGCACAGGCGTCTGGGTGTAGCTCTAGTCTAGAGCACATGTGTCAAACACAAGGCCCGCGGGCCAAATCCGTCCCGCCAGGCCTTGCAATGTGGCCCGCACCGCGCTGTCATCACTGCACTCCGCTGCGTTTCCATCACAATGACAGTTTATGACTGTTCAGTAAACCATTCGGCCCTCGATTTAGGCTGGATTTTAGATTTTGGCCCCTTCTCTGATTGAGTTCGACACCCCTAGTCTAGAGGATAGTCAGTGCTTTTACCAACAAGTGCTGGAGGGAGGGCCCAGGTGGGAGCTCAGGGAGGCCGAGGCTCTTGACGGGTCTGATGCTTAGGCTTCTAAATGACGCCGATCCAGTGCATCGGCAGAGCCTGGCACATGGGTTGAATATCAGCAGATTTTTAAGCAGAATCTCTTTTTTTAATTTTTATTTTATTTTATTGATTTTTTTACAGAGAGGAAGGGACGGGGAGAGGGAGAGAGAGAGTGAGAAACATCAATGAGAGAGAAACATCAATCAGCTGCTTCCTGCACACCCCCTACTGGGGATGTGCCCGCAACTAAGGTACATGCCCCTGACTGAAATCGAACCTGGGACCTTTCAGTCCCCAGGCTGTCGCTCTATCCACTGAGCAACACTGGTCAGGGCATCAGCAGATTTTTAAAAGCGCCCGTGCCTGTGTTCCTTGGTGCTCTTTCTGGTGAGCTGGTGCGAAATGGTTTCCTGTGTGGGTCTGCGCTGGTGTGGCCTGGACCCGGGACAGCTGGACAGCTCACCTGGGACAGCACCCCTGGGGCCAGGACCCGAGAGTCTGCAGCAGCCGGTCGCAGAGGCTGGCCAGGCTCCGCCTCCGGGAGGTTGGACCACCCAGGGGGGGAGGGGGACGGGCGGCGGCAGGGCACCAAGACTGAGATGTGGGCTCAGGAGAGAAGAGCAGAACTGGGAGGTGCCTGCCTGCCGGGGATGAAATGAGGAGCTCTGCCATGTGGGGATGGGCGGCAGGCCCTGGGCGTGGTGGTGCACCCGCTCAGCCCTGAGCCCCTGGAGTGGGTTGGAGGTGGCCAGCAGGCCTCTCCGTGGAATGCACAGGTTCCTCGGTTCCCCTGTCTTGCTGCAGATCTGTTTTGCTGTGATTTGAATTAACGAGCGGCTCTCCCATGGTCAACCTCTTGGTTGCCTCTAGAATCAGTAAGTTGTATGACTGGTTCTGGTCAAACGGCGTTTGACAGCCTCCATCCCCAGACGCCAGCCTGGGGGTGTGACTTGGAGTGGCCCGTGGTGTGGGACCTGGCTCCCCAGCCTCCATCTGGGACGGGCGTTGGGGCAGGGACACGTGGTTGGGGCACTGGTCTCATGTTCACAGGCGGGCGGGACGTGGAGGCTCTGAGAGGGTGGCTGAGGGTCGCGGCCACAGGTGGAGGTGCCTGGCGGCTCTGTCCCTTCCCCAGAGACACTCCCTCAGCAGGGGCTGGGCTTCCTTCTCCCGCACAGGCTGGTGTCCTTCCGAGGGGCCGATTCTAATGCTTCAGTGGCTTCCAGCCTTTCTTTCCGCTCAGCCCGGCGCTCCTGGGGCGCGGGAGGCATCCCCTGTGGTGCTGGGGAGGAGGCTTCCATTGTGGGAGACGGCTCAGACCAGCGGACATCTTCCTTGAGGACCTGTCGCTCTGTGCCGCGGTCCTTTTATTACCTGTTGGCTCCAGGAGACGGTGATGGAGGGACAGCGAGGAGCTGCCCCCCTATCCCCCCCCAATATGGAAATGGAGAACACGTACAGTTCACCGGGGAGCG